TATATATATATATATATATATATATACGAGGTATGCTTTGTGTGTTTATATATATATGACATAACAGCATCACGTTCCCGTCACACTGAACGTATTTATACGACTCGTAATCTTTAACCTTTACATTTCATATCTGTAGACTACGTATAAAAGCACGATGCGTTCTCTCAAGAGACGCGGTTCTATACACACGGTTCAGTTCAGCAGCGGAAGAATATAATCTTAGCAAGATGAAAGTGCTCGCGTTTTGCGCCTGTAGTTTAGCACTTGCTGTAAGTATTTTTCGTTCATCTCTATCAATAACAAATTATATGATATACACACGTATTATATATATGAAATGAAACTGCGCATATATGTCACAGTCTTTCAGTTCAGCTGGAACTACAGGTGAAAGATTGAAACAGGCGCTTTCTAATGAGGATAGTTTCGACACTTGTATGAGCGAAAATAATATGACTACACGTAAGATACAATTATATCCCTCCTAGTTTTCTGCACTTTTCCAACGATCATTTATATGGTGCGTGAATTAATTATCGATAAAAATCTAGCAGAGCATTAAGAAAATATCAGAGGAGTACTTTTGTGTTAAAACTAAAAACCTTGGTGTAAAATGCGTGCTCTGTTATTTGTTTTTTTCCAGTGGACTTTTACACCAAGTCCGAGATAATAGATAACGAGTATGCAAAGCCCGGAAACGAAGAAAAGAGAAGACAAAATGGTTGCACTTTGGAGTGCCTATTGAGAGAGGAGGGTTTAGTAAGCTTTTATATATAACATGTAAGAAATACAAACTCAGAGTTGTAAATAACGAATATTTCTTCTTTCCGTTTGATCAGATGGTAGGATCGGAAATTAAGGAGCATAAAGTTCACGCTGAAATAAGTAGAAAGATGGATGGCAATCCTAAAGAAGCAAAAGCACACAAGATCGCACGTGATTGCATAAGAGAAGGTGAGTAAGAGAAAGAAAGATATTATAAACATAAAATTTCATCATATATTTTTATGTATGCGCTTCTCGACACATTTCTATAATTTATATTTGTTTTTAGTAAGCGGTATTACGCAGGAATGCGAAAAAGGCTTTTCTCTATTTGTCTGTATCGTAAAAGCGACACATAAAGCAACGAAGCATGATGAACATGAATAAATTGAACCTTTATATATATATATATATATATATATATGTATATATATATATATATATGTATGTATGTATGTATGTATATGTATACACATATGTATGTATGTGTGTGTGTGTGCGCGTGTACATATAAATGTATATATGTATATGTGTATCTATATATCTATATATAATCGTGTAAACGCATACGTATCCTATTGCACGAATGAGTGGCGCCGGTTTAAAAAGTGCATCGGAAACACNCTCGAATATGTTATAATAGAATATTACATCTTGTCTAACTGTTTTTCTCTATATAATTATCCGATAAAGTACTTTCATTTTCAACCCAGTAAACACCAAGTAACATCAATGTCACTTGTTTAGTGGGAATCTAGTAAGATATATATTACATATAAATAATAATGATACAACATATTTGTAACATTCATAAAATAAAATTAATAGTGAAATCTTTATACAACAAAAAAATTACTTTCGCGCTATGTAAAATGTAAATTCACATATGTTATATATCCACTATATTATTGCGTCGACTTTTCCCTCCTTATCAAACATACATGCTTAAAGAGGCGAAAAACCAAGAATAAAATTGAATGTTTTTAATTATAAAAAATTATATCAAATTCACTCGGGTCACCTTTTGACAAGTAACTAAAAAAATTCATCGAAATTGAACCACTTTAATCCTTCTTTCCTAAGCTGCCGTTAAATTTGTACAATATAGACGTTTTTATATGTTTTTTCGACGTCTTTCTAAATGCCGTTCTTTTCTTGTTATAAACTTTCAAGCCGCACTATGAAAGGATGTTACCTGAGTTACTTTTTTGTTGCTGAAAAGTTACTCTTCAAATTTGACAAAAAGATGTTTGTCGTCACTACTTCAGTTCCTGGATGGCGGCATTGAAACTATTCATCTACATCAGATAGATGGAAATCGTGATATGTTAGTTGGAGCGACTATACGCAGGCTGGTCTAACATGTTCTTATGGAAATGCACAATTTCGAGCTTTGCGTCTCTTATTTTTACTCGATATCAGCTCTAATTTGTAATATTTCGAGAAAAGAATCGATCGATTGATCGAGAAGAAAGATGAAGCACATTCGAGCAGTCGGTGACGAAGCTCCGTCGATAAACAGCTTTTACCCAACGCTATCCCGCAGCCGTCCGAAGGTTTCTCATCAGAGACGCGGAATGTCACCACTGTAGCCCCACCGTCTTCCCTAGCAACCCATTCTTCCGTCCGTCCGTCCTGCAACTAGCTTGCGCGCAACTCGTGCTGTGACTGCGTGAAATGTGTACGTTTATTCTAAATACGTTCGAATCGTCGGATAGCGCGACGGCGTGAAAATGGCGGTGTGAAAAAAAATGGCAGGACGCAGGTCGACGCTGGCAGACTCGCTGCCGGGCACGGGCGGCGGCGGTAGCGGCGATCCGCTCCGTGAACTTTTCGAGGCTTGCAAAACCGGCGATCTCGCCAAGGTGAAGGCATTGGTCACCCCGAAGACGGTCAACGCCCGCGACACCGCTGGACGCAAGTCTACCCCTCTGCATTTTGCAGCTGGTGAGTTTCCCCTGCTCGATGCTTTCGCGCAACACGCTGGAGCACAATTGGTAAGCAGGACGGTAAACTCGAGCGAACGCTTTCTTCCGATTGCAGCTGTGTATCGATTCATAGTCAGCTGATCGTGTTGCCGATTAGAAGGAAGTATATTGGCTCCATGAGAAAATCAAGCCTTTTTGAATACTTTTTCTTTACAGTATTGTTGCGATGATTTTCCTTCGTTGACGATGCAAACGGAGGGATCATTCAGACATATACTTCTCGTTGACAATGTGTGTAACATTTATCGTCCTTATTGCTGATGTGAATAAAATTGTTTTCACAATTACCTACGTATTCATATACTTGTAAATATGCTCACATATATTCATGTGTCGTAGGATACGGTAGAAAGGAGGTTGTAGAATTTCTCTTATCCGCCGGTGCTTCGATTCAAGCCCGCGACGACGGTGGTCTACATCCGCTGCACAATGCATGTTCCTTCGGGCATTCCGACGTCGTGAGATTACTCCTGGAAGCAGGAGCGAACCCAAACACAAGAGACAATTGGAACTACACACCTCTGCACGAGGCAGCCATCAAGGTTCGCATTATATGCGATATGCCGCGATATTGTTTACCAAGATATCTAACTTTCGTATCGTACTTGGCAGGGTAAAATAGACGTGTGTATTGCTCTGCTACAGCATGGGGCAGATGTAAACATTAGGAATACAGAAGGAAAGACTGCGTTAGAACTGGCTGATCCCGCCACTAAGCCGGTTCTAACGGGAGAGTATAGGAAGGACGAGCTCTTGGAAGCCGCTCGATCCGGAAACGAGGAACGACTGTTGCAGCTGTTGAATCCGCTAAATGTCAATTGTCACGCTAGTGACGGGAGGAGATCGACGCCTCTTCACCTAGCGGCTGGATATAACAGATCCAGGGTTGTGCAGATCCTTCTTCAGAACGGCGCGGACGTGCACGCGAAGGACAAAGGGTTCGATCGTAGTTATTCTATAAGATTTCGTGAGCGAAGTTCACGTATGAATAAAGTAAAATGCTGCTTTCAGAGGTCTCGTGCCACTTCACAATGCCTGTTCGTACGGCCATTTCGAAGTGACTGAGGCGCTTTTGAAGCACGGCGCCGCCGTTAATGCCAGTGACCTTTGGACCTTTACTCCGTTGCACGAAGCTGCGAGTAAATCCAGAGCGGAGGTTTGTTCTTTGCTGTTGAGCGAAGGTGCGGACCCGATGCAATTGAACTGCCATAGTAAAAGCGCCATCGACGTAGCACCGACGCTCGAATTACAAGAAAGACTAGCCTGTGAGTTCTGTTCGACTTATCGTAACTCATCCATCATTCATTCATTCGTACAACGCGTACGAATTACAGACGAATACAAGGGTCACTGCCTGTTGGACGCCTGCAGGCAAGCGGATCTTACAAAGTTGAAGAAATATCTGTCTCAAGAAGTGGTCAACTTCAAACATCCTTACACCGGGGACACGCCGTTGCACTGCGCAGTGGCGTCACCTTATCCGAAGAGGAAGCAAGTTGTCGAGGCCTTGGTCAGAAAGAATGCTGCCATGAACGAGAAGAATAAGGACTTTCTGACGCCGCTTCACGTAGCGACCGATCATTCGCATTACGATGCGATGGACATATTACTTCGACATAACGCGAAGGTCAACGCGCTGGACGGCTTGGGCCAGACCGCACTGCACAGGTACGCTCGCTTCGCTGGAAGGAAGGCGGTTTATAATGTTCAAACGATATGCTGCGCTTAATTAGGTGCGTCAGAGAGGATAACGTGCAGGCCTGCCGGATACTTTTGCTGTACAACGTCGATCCTTCGATAGTGTCGCTTCAAGGATACACCGCGGCACAAATCGCCGCCGAAAACGTGCTCAAGATTTTGCAAGGTAAGTGTTGCTTGGCCAGGGTTTGTTCAACTCAACGACAGAGGAAACTTTTCGCGGCAGATCCGCCGAGCGGTGGTGCCGCGGACGACGCAGAGGCGCAACTACTGGAGGCGAGCAAGTCGGGAGACCTCGCCGCAGTGGAGAGAATTTTGCAAGCCAATCCACACGCCGTGAATTGCCGCGATTTGGACGGAAGGCATTCGACTCCGCTACACTTTGCAGCGGGCTTCAACAGAGTGCCGGTTGTCGAGTATCTATTGGCACACGGCGCGGATGTACATGCCAAAGATAAAGGGTATGGCAACATTTATCCGATAAATTCCAAATGTCATTCAACTGCCGAGCTAACACAGCGAATTCTTATTCAGCGGCTTGGTTCCTCTTCACAACGCTTGCTCGTACGGACACTACGAAGTTACGGAATTATTGGTGAAGCACGGTGCATCGGTAAACGTTGCCGATTTATGGAAATTTACGCCGCTTCACGAGGCTGCCGCCAAGGGCAAGTATGAAATAGTTCGATTACTTTTGAGACACGGAGCGGATGCCACCAAGAAGAATCGAGATGGCGCAACCCCGTTGGATTTAGTGAGAGACGGTGACCAGGACGTAGCGGATTTGCTGCGTGGAAATAGCGCTCTGCTCGACGCAGCGAAGAAAGGAAACTTGGCCAGAGTCCAGAGATTGGTTACGCAAGACAACATTAACTGCCGGGATGCGCAAGGGCGCAACAGTACTCCGTTACATTTAGCTGGTAACTCGCCTCTTATAATCTTTCATGTCGAAATCATTTCGCAGAATCTGACCGATTCTGTTGTACAATACTGACAATGTGTGTCACACAGCGGGCTACAACAACTTGGAAGTAGCTGAATTCTTACTCGAACGCGGGGCGGATGTAAACGCGCAAGACAAGGGCGGCCTCATCCCTCTGCACAACGCGTCGAGTTACGGTCACTTGGACATTGCAGCCTTGCTCATTAAATACAACACCGTGGTGAATGCGACGGACAAATGGGGATTTACGCCACTTCACGAAGCCGCGCAGAAAGGCCGAACGCAGCTGTGCGCTCTTTTGCTCGCGCACGGCGCCGATCCTTTCCTGAAAAATCAGGAAGGGCAGAGTCCGGTGGATCTAGCCAGTGCGGACGATGTAAGGTGTTTACTGCAAGACGCTATGGCTTCCCAACAAGTCGTCCCGTCGGTACCGTCCGGTAACATGATGAATAACGGCAGTTCCGTCACCGTTAGCAGACCGCCTAGTATCGTATCCGGTAAGAGGAATTTGTCGAAAAACGATTGAAAATCTGTGTGAAATTGGTAGTACGACAGACGTGTATTCACGTAATTGCTACATTGCCCGATTACTACAATTATTATTTTTTTTTTTTCCATCGATTAGTTCCAGTCACACCGCCACCGCCTCTCACTCAGGAAACGGTCATTATGCCGTCCGGCGCAGCTATGATTCTGTGTGTACCATTGGCACGTCCGACGTCGTGCCTGAGTCCGATGCCACCGAGTGAGCAGCCGTGTCCCCCCGAGAAAGAACCCAAAGAACTGTGTAAGGAACACGCTTCCATCACCACTGTTGCCGGCTTCTTGCAGAGTCTCGGTCTGGAACACTTGCTCGAATTGTTCGAACGCGAACAAATCACATTGGATATACTGGCGGAAATGGGTCACGAGGATTTGAAACAGGTCGGAGTGTCGGCTTACGGTTACAGGCACAAACTGATCAAAGGTATGGACAAGCTGTTGAACACGGCGGCGGGCTCTCTCTGGCAACCCTCTGTAAATCCTGGCACACTGCTGGTGGACTTGCTAGCCGAAGATAAAGAATTTCTAGCTGTTGAAGAGGAAATGCAGAGCACTATCAGACAACACAGAGACAACGGCCATTCCGGTGGTATCTTCTCTCGATACAATATAGTCAGAGTACGTAATTGACACGAATAGTCGAATATTCTCAACAATTTTCTCTCTCTCTCTATTCCTTCTCGCGGTTTTCCCTTTCGCGCCTTCTTATATATTTACACACAGAGATTACTCAATTAAAAAAAAAAAAATTGTTGCGTAGATACAGAAGGTTCAGAACCGTAAGTTGTGGGAGCGTTACGCTCACAGGAGGCAAGAAGTGGCCGAGGAAGTCGGCGCCGCCGCTCCAGCTTCTCCCAGTACAGGACTCAGAAATACTCCCAGCTCGGCAGTGCCGCAAGCGAACGAGAGAATGCTGTTTCACGGTAGCCCGTTCATCAATGCTATCGTACAGAAAGGCTTCGATGAACGGCACGCGTATATCGGTGGAATGTTCGGTGCTGGTATATATTTCGCGGAACACAGTAGCAAGAGCAATCAATATGTTTATGGTATATGCGGCGGCACCGGATGTCCCGCTCACAAAGACAGAAGCTGTTACATTTGTCATAGGTGAGTGAGCGAATGAGTGAGAGAGAGAAATCGTGTCACCAGTATGCGATACGATATGTGTGAAAAGGATAAGTATTTTTCTTTAATTTTTAGGCACCTGTTACTGTGTAGAGTTACACTCGGCAAATCGTTTCTACAATTCTCAGCGATGAAAATGGCACACGCGCCTCCCGGGCACCATAGCGTAATGGGCAAACCGTCGCAAGGTGGCTTGGTATTCCCCGAGTACGTCGTCTACAGAGGCGAACAAGCATATCCCGAATATCTCATCACGTATCAGATTGCAAGACCGCAGCAAGAAACCAACGAAGGTGTCGAGGAACGGTGATCGGTGGAAGAGCCGGCAGCGGGTCCTGCGGCAAGATTGCGTAGTCTCTGTTGCTGTCAAAGACCGAGGGCATGCGGCGCACTGTCGCGTACGTAAAGAGCGCTCCGAATTCAAGTCTAACACTAGTTCTTCCATTTTTATTAATTGAAAGAATCTGGCAAAAATAACACGTAGTCAAGAGAGGAACGTAAGATATTTCATTCCGAGACAGACAGACAGAGAGAAAGCATTATTTATTCGGCGCTTTTTGGGATAAATCTTCTCACGCGAGCGAGCGAGAGAGAGAGAGAGAGAGAGAGAGAGAGAGAGAGAGAGAGAGAGAGNTTCGATATATCCCAACAATGTACTTGTGAAGAAAAAGAAATAGCCGCTGTAACGCCTTATTTTCAACATTTGTGATCCGTTGTAATATTCGAGAGATCATTTAATCCAATCGTCAAATCGACCCTTTACGGTGAATGTACATTGATCAAGATGTAAATATCGATACATGATTGCAGTACATCTCTTACATCACACTTGATGTCGATTAGTGTGTTCGTAGAGTTAGTCAGTATTAAAGAATGTATCGTAATGTACTCTTGTAGATTTGTATAACAAAAATTAATTTATATTAACACGCGTTACGATGGTTTAATGTGGGCGGATGGACACAGCGATACGTTCGATCGAACCATTTAAGATGTAGTATAATTTGCTCGACGTCTATAACACGATCTGCTAGCTTGTATAAATAAAATTTATCTATTTGACACACACACGCACACGCACGCACGCACGCATAAAAGTTTCTTTTTTACAAGATAATATCCCTGTGTTATCTACTTGCTATAAAATTTATTTGCATCGCGTGGTTGTAAATCTGCTCAGATCCAAAAAAATTTGGATAAATTACACGCAGAGTATTATTCTATTTATATAATTAAAAAATTACAAATTATATATATATATATATATGAAATCATTTATATAAAATGTATCTTGCATTTCAGACTCAACTTGCGATGCATATAAATTTATAGTCACGATAACCAAGTATTGTAATGTAATGTAAATTATTATCAGCTTTTGTATTTCGTAAGTATAATCAATGGGGTTCGTGTTCAACACTGTACAGTCCTTTTTTTCATTTTTAACAAGATAATATAATGATTTTATCAACCTGTTTTTGCGGAAAAAGAAGAAATGTTACGCAATTAGTTCAAAAAATGAGATCAACGATTAATTTATAAACAAAATTTATGAATTACGTAAATTAAGTAAATTATCTCGGGGCATACCGTTCGAAGTTTTTCCTAAGCGAAATTGAAAGCAAACATGCTCTTTGATCTCAATATGCGCTCTCAAATCATTATCATGATTTATCAAATACAAAACTATACATCTCATAAACATACAAAGAGAGAAAGAATATCGCGCGAATGCATAAAAGAGAAAAGGATAACGGAAGATTTGTTACATGACGTAATTTCGCTGCTGCAGTCTCGACAGTTATGGTGGCGCGTTTATGAAAATACAGTTCATTTCTCAAAACAAAGCGTTACTCCGATCAACTACTGATATCCGAATGATTTTTGCGCTGTTGTATCCGCTCCATTATTAATATTACAATATCTTTTTGTAAAGCAGATAATATGCAGTATGATGAGCTGGTACGAAAGCGCGTACCATTGTGTTCTAATTGTACAAGAGAACAAGAGACTTGTAAGCAAAAACAATGGACTTTCTTTAATTGTTAATGCACGAGTATGTATTTTTTCAACTCCTGTCTTTGTCGCGAGCGACGTTCCTGAAAACTTACCAGAGAGAACAAGCGTGCTATGCGGAGAACAAGATTATAACGACATGAAAATATGTGAATTTATCTCATGAGTTTATCGCGAAATGTTATTACGATGGTCAACATTATTTGAAAATGCTTCTAAAACTTTGCAACAGATTCTCCGCTGGAAAAGTTCAGTGAGATACCTGCGTCATACCTGTGCATTCAATACCGCATATTTGTTATAAACGATGAGATAACTGTTTATCTCATGTAATATATTATGTGAAAGACCTGCTTTCCAGATGTTAATTTAAAAATTATACTATTACTTATATAATATTTTGGTTTTTCTTTTTTAAGCAATTCGCAGCAATCATAGCAATTCGCAGAATTATAAAATATGCAGATAAACATATTAATCGCAACGTAATATTGCTTGGTTTATAAAAGCAACAGGAAACAAGTCATAACTTGGTACAATCCCCTCTGAAACGTTCCCACGGCGGCATTCACTCGACCCTTGGTCTATTCAATTACAGCTATTGCGACGTTGCGACAAATTTCAAGGTCTGGGCCAAGTCTACGGGTTTTTTCCGGTCTGAGTTTGATACAGCGTACAATCATATACAACACTTGCAAAAAATAATTTGTCACACTTCATATTGTAAAAAAAAAATATATATATATATATATATATATATGGGACTCAAATCGCTAAACCATAGGATCCCATATGAATTTTTTCAACGATCGATATTTACGTGCTTATTGTTTTTATATAAGGTATTTTTTTACTCTCGATATTGCATTTCGTGAAGAATCTTATGAGACAAAAAAAGTAGTCTTGAATATTCTGAGCACAACATGGTTCCCCTAAATATATTGATTAACGTAGTATGGTTATTTCAAAAAGCATCTCAGACGGCACTATCTTTTAAAAAAATATCCTACTTTCATGTTAACACGTCTGTTTGCGCCGTTTGAAACGTTATACAATATTTATACTCTTGATAAACGAGTTCTCGAAACGTTTTATCGCGTATCACTATGTTAGCTCACTGTTACTTTTATAAACGTCAGGGGAGTAATTAGTGCCGGCCGTATCAGCGATTAGAGGTTACTTTAGAAAAATAAAGGATGTAGTTACCTATGCAAATAACAGCCCAAACAACACACAATATCTTATGGACGTTCTTTAGGACATCGGGACGTTCTCTGGACATTCTCAAGACATCCCGATTTGTTTGCATCCATTTATACCTTACAGAAATATCACGCTAATTATTCGATCGACTTTCTCGAGATTAACAAGATATAGAGCTGCTCTTACGCTCGCATTTCGTTGCGTGCAAATTATTTTCTCCGCGGGAAAGCTCTTTCCTTGATAATTATTTTAAACTCGCGGAATTTACGTGTGATTTCATCTAATAGCCAGAGTTATGCGATTTCGATATTCGCTACCAATTTGCTAAAGATATCTATAGTACAAGTAACATGAACTATAGATTTTCAGTACTGGCAGTGAATATCGAAACATAATAAATGTATAGATGAAAGATACACTGGCAATAAACGCGATAAATATTCCATCAACGATTTTTGAACATGTATTGCTCTTTTCGATGCTTCATTAGATAAGCATATAAGCGTGAATAAACCTTTGTTCCTCTACAGTTACATATCAAGGGCTCAATTCATCGCTCTGACCCGAACGATCGCTGTAACTTTCCATGATGCGAAATTAGACTATAAACGACCTATTCGGCTATTCCCCAGTCACTGTTGCTGACCAGTGATACATCATTAAAACACCTCACATATATCATACATTGTGGTACTTTATCATTGCGCGAGTTGCGAAATGCGGATATTAAGCTGTGACACGTATTTCCATGGATTAGTCTAGGGACTTTCAATATTAATCGATTCCGATATTCATTGCCAGTACTGTAAATCTATTGTTACGTACACAATAGCTTGAACTTTCTTTTCATAAAGAAAGTATCTCTAAAAGTAGGGACATCTGATTGGCTTGCACATTTAAGCCACTTACGGGTCTATAGATTTTCAACACCGTCAGCGAATATTGCAATACGATTGGTCGTAAATATCCACACGGATTAAAGGTTGCAGTACTATATTTTTTAGATTAATTTTGCAACATATCCAATGGGAGAATTTGTTTCATAGTAATTCCCAAGAGATGTGCTTTATACTTAGGATTGGACACGCAAAATACATTGCGAAAATCATCGAAAATTATGTTAAGCCAGCGGCACGCGATGCTTATGTTAGATTGTTGCAGAATGGAAATACTGCGTTCTAATTGGTGCAATTTCAAAAATGGATGACAATACACCAATCAAGAGGCAGTATTTCCATTCAGCAAACAATCTAACACAAGCATTGTGTGCCGCTGGCTTTACAATCGAGGCTGTGCGCGAGATGTGTCGCGAAAGTTCAGGCGAGGCAAACTTGGAGCCTCTTTATGCAAGTAGCGACGTATGAAGCTTAATAGAACACTATCTTGTCTGTTCGCGAGAAATTCAAAACACCCGATTAGAATTTTGGTGGGGGTGGCTATAAGAGAGAATCTCGGCGTACTTCGGCCGGCATTCACAGTCAACATTGAGCGAGAGCTTGCTGGAGAAGAGTCTTCGCAAGTATTTGATATCGGTGAAACCTGTGTGTAGCGTTAATATAATGTCGAGTCTAACAGCACCGATGTTCAAGTTTTACAATGGCAACGAAGTACCGGCTTTTGGTCTGGGCACATGGAAGGTTAGACTTTTCAACGTTGATCTCTCTCGGGTCTATTATTAGAATATCACCTTGTTTCTTTTCTCGCTGTGTCATTCTGCGTCTTTGTCAAATACGATGCTTACACAGAATCGAAAGCATTCAAAGGTCAATATTTGACCCCATATTTGGTTCTAGCTGCCTCACACATTCTTCGATTGAATAATTTATAAATTAAATTAACAATCATCGTTTATTTTTCTCCCCAGACAGCATGCAATATTTATAAAATATTAAAAAAAATTTTTTTTAAATATAGATGTTAAATATTTTGTTAGTATTCTGATGTCCGAGAAAATCAGGTATGATAAATATTTTTCATAAATATTCTCGAATCTAAATGTTTTAAAAATCAAATATTTTCGAATACATTATTCTTATCATAATTGATTTTCCCGGACATTAGAATATTTACAAAATATTTAATATCAGTATTTTTTTACTATTTTATATATATTTTATAAATATTGTGTGTTGATCCATCTATTTCAATATCCAATCTGATAATATATCAAAGTGTGATGGAAAAAAAAAAAACTATTTCTGTCTTCCCTTCTTCTCTATGTGGATCAATATAGGTGACTTTGCGAACTACATGTTATTTCGTCTGTACTTTCGTATCAAATGGACACCCACATATACACATTCGAGAAATTTGAAGAAAGAGAGAGGGAAACTGAAAAAATACCAAATATGCAGAGCTAAAAATGACTTTCATCAAACTCGAAGCTAATTGTTGAATAATGACAAAAAAGTTTCCAACACACTAATTTTCAGTTGTTCCGTAATTTGTTGTTCAACGATAATCGGGAATTTTATCATTTCTATCTGTGTTGGCAAGATAGAGCACACTTGACCGACAGCCGTTTTAAAACGTCGATTAGATAGATTCAAAGTCACCTGAAAAAGGAAAACAACTTGAACGCTCGCAAAGTTTTTATTATTTCGATCGGAACTCATTGCATAACCGCTTCGCTGAATTAATACGTAAGCCTCGTATGAATAACAAATCGCGTGTCAGATTAAAAATTAATGAAAAAATATACCGTTTTCACCTATCTTGTAAGTACAAAACCAAGTTTAAGCAAAAGTTTAACTAAACACTTCGTATTTTCCATAAACAACATAAATTATATATTCATTATGATCGCGTTATCGCTTTCGGCGAGTAAGTAATAGAATATTCCAACCGGGATTACCTCTGTCTATTCTAATGAGATATGGGAGATAACGAACATGCTATTGTTTTCAATAAACTCTAGGCTACATTCTAGGCGATGGCCTAGAAACAAGAAGAATGCAAAAAATGAACAAATAGAAAGAATTTCACAAGCAATCTCTAGTTATCGTTTATGCATATGATACTTGGGGGATATTGTGGGGATACTTTTGTGAAAGACGTTTCGAAAGACCAAATTTTCATATCGACTTTATTTCAGTCTAAACCAGGTGAAGTCACCCAAGCTGTCAAAGATGCTATTGATATCGGCTACAGACATATCGATTGCGCATATATTTATGGCAACGAAAAGGAAATCGGGGCTGCTATACAAACAAAAGTAAAGGAGAATGTCGTAAAGAGAGAGGATCTATTCGTAACTAGCAAACTGTGGAATACTTTCCACAGACCTGATCTGGTCGAACCAGCCATCAAGCGGACGCTGGCTGATCTTGGTCTTGATTACCTAGATCTCTACTTGATACACTGGCCAGTTGGATTTAAAGAGGGCGATGATGTTTTTCCCAAAAATGCCGATGGTAGTACCACTCTGAGCGATGTAGATTATGTCGATACTTGGAAGGCAATGGAGGCTGTACTATCCAAGGGATTGACGAAAAACATTGGGATCAGTAATTTTAATTCTGAGCAAATTACGAGACTGCTCGAAAATACGACTGTGAAACCTGTTACGAATCAGGTAGGTTAAGAGTATGCGAGCAGCGCGGTTGTTGAGAAAGACGCTGTCAACGAAAAGAATTCATAATTCAATATGCGCTATCACTTACACTATCTATTTTATCATTATTCAATATATAACAACATATATGCAAAAAAGAAAGGTGTTGTTGGTTCAACTATATTTTCTTGTATAGATCGAATGTCATCCGTATCTAACGCAAAAGGAACTGTCAAACTTTTGCAAGGAGAAGGGCATTCTTATTACAGCCTACAGTCCACTCGGATCACCAGACAGACCATGGGCCAAGCCGGACGATCCGAAACTGCTGGAAGATGAAACATTATCTCAGATTGCCATAAAATATGGCAAGACACCTGCGCAGATACTCTTACGTTATCAGGTATATTAGAGCATTGTCAGCTCCCCTTCTCGAACATCTGGTCGTTGATAATCGTCAACGATTCCTCTGTGAATATAGTGGAGTCAATCAAGTTCAAAGTAATTATCTTTTTAGTTGGAACGTGATCACATAGTGATACCAAAATCAGTCACAAAGTCTCGAATTCTTGAAAACAGCAAAATATTCGACTTTAAATTAAAATCCGAAGACGTCGAATATATCGACACTTTCCATCGTAATGGAAGAATGTGTCCCTTGACTGGGTGAGTCTTGCTTATTATTATTACCTGTAAAAGTGATATTCGAAGTGATATTCGATCAGAGAGAGAGAGAGAGAGAGAGAAAGAAAATATTCTGTGGTCACACGATGTAATACGCTAATGATTTTGTCTTTATTTTCAGTTCGGAAGCCAGCCCTTATCACCCGTTCAACATTCCATTTTAAGCGAAGTAAAAACAAAATTGGGATCACAGGTGGTTGATATAACACACGCATTTCTTTGGTTAAAATATATATATATTTTTTAATAGTCAGTCGCCTACAAAATTACCGTATAAGTGAGCATTAAAAACAATAAATTAAAAACCTTTTTCTTTCTTTGGCACAAGTTAAAAAAATTAAAAGTACTTGATAGCGCGTGAAAATAAAGATTATGTACTGTGTGTATTTTGCCATTTTAACATGTTGAGGTATTAAATCATCAGGTTGATTCCTCGCTGTTTTCGCTACAGGTGTAACATTCGCAAAATTCTTTGTCGCTAATACCATCATGTTCCATGTCCGGTACTACCAAACGTAGCGTCTCTGAAGCCGCGGTAGCAGAGATGGTCAACGATGGAACGCTGCAATTTGCACACAGTGCAGTCGATAAGATGTTGCGCTTTTCTTCACAGACCAATTTGCGAGCAGCAAAACACGCGTTGCATATGCATTCACCGGTGTTATTGTCGCATGAATGGTGTTTGAGAGACACATCTGAAAATGTATGCGAAAATACTCGAGCATTAACTTGTGCAACGATTTTTAGATCCACATATTATTTTATATTAACAATCCGATTGATACTTTATAATGAAAGAGTCTATACATTCGTACATATAATATTACACAATATATAATCAGTATATCATTGAATACGATGGCAGTATCTTACTGAAATGCACTAGAAATTCTCTCTCAATTGATTCTGATCAATATTTCAGTAAAGATTCAGTTTTCAATTAAATTCGTAACAGTAAGTTCAATAAAGTTTCGCGATATTTCTAAAGATTTTTATTACTTTTCAACGGTATAATTTCACTTTCCCAATATTTCACAGTATTACACAAAATTTCAGAAGGAAAATTATGATTCATTTTGAAATATGTTTAGTAATTTTTCCAAAACTTTCATCGATTTCATATTTTCAGCAAAGTATTTTTGCATCAGAATACTCTTCCTACAATTTCTTATTGCGATAAAAATAGGTAAAATAGGTGCCTGAAGTACATGCCTATCTTTTTTGAGATAGATCGAGATTCGCGATGAGCCGTCATCGATTTCCGGATTGAAGCAGGAGAATGTTGGAAAGCAAATTTGCAGCAACGACAATCGAGCGCTTTTGTCGTTGGACACGCGCAACCATGGATGTAATGCGATGGACATAAATTTTCACACAAATTCAGCAAGCGACGAAACGATTTCATCGACCTTTGTTCGCGACCTGTGTCCTTCGATGTATCAGTCGTCTAAATCGAACGTATATCACGTCCTTTTTTTTTCGCTTACTCGTCTATCAAAGTATATTTTATAGTGTGACTTTCAGCGAACGGCAAAACTTTCATTCACCTTTTCGTTATCGCGTTGAAATTTTTTACAAGGTAGAAATTGTCTCATCTGTCGTCTGTACGTGGTTTCTTTGTTCTCCAGCTCTTTGATGCAACTTTTCAAGTTGAGCTCCTCTTCGGCAAGCTGACGAATCTTCTTCAGACATATCAGATCTTCCGAATGAATGGAACGCAGGCTGGATGTACTACTCAGACGGTGCCTCAGTGCTCGCAGTTTCTCCTCCGTCTCTTTGTTGGCCAGTTCCAGAGACTCCAACTCCATGGTGGTTTCTTCCAGCTTTACATCCGCATCTATAATCTTATCCTAATACCGATGAAATAACTTGGTCAATCTATTTACCCTATTTTGATGATTTTCGAAAGGACTTGTCGGCCAATTTGCGACGCGCGCGCGAAGAGTACGCGCTAAAAAAAAAGCTGGTCACACGACAAGATACGTTACCAGGATCGTTGAATGTCAATGTCGTGCCGTACATGCAACTGTGCCATTTCCAGGCGGTGGTCGTTGACAGCGTCATTTAATCGGGCGAGCAGTCCGTCGACAGGATCCGGTATATCCACGATCTGTCGTACTATGCGGTATGCTGTGTCACGGCCTGCTCCCTCGTCGGCCATTTTCCACATATTGCACGTTATCAGAGCCGGGATGGAACGTTCCATCATAGCGACCTTGTCTCTGAGATGCTTGTGACGATCGATCAGGTCGCATCGACGTTCCTCAATTTCCGACGCGACATTTGCCAGTGGCGAGTCTTTTTTTTTATACAAGGGAAAAAATGAGTCGTATAATGTAAAATCTCAGTCGAAATCACACATATCTGAGGTGTGAAGACGCACGAATGGCACGAATAGAAGATTAGCACATCTAATCTACTATTCGTCTTGCAACCGAACGAGCGAACAGGTTACTCACTAATTTTGGCTGACATTTTGACCGTTCTCTCCGGCACGTCTCTTGAATACAAAGGAATAAAATTGTATCGCGCGCATTAGAGATTCGCGATGTTAAACATTTCTGAATTTTGAGTACGAAAGAGTGATCGGCTTTGACGGTGGTCAAAGTAGAACGTTCGCTCCGATCGATGGTTTACAATCGAAATGTAATCGAGAAATGTGATTTATACGAAACAAAAGAAACTGTATACTCGACAAATTTTCCATCCGTCTTTTTCAGTCGTCGGTTTTATAAACAGTAATTACGCGAACAATAGCCCCAGCATGCGATATTATAAGCGTTTATCGATCGATCAATTGTAAAACGCGGAGACACTTGTATATATGTGTGTGTGTGAGCGGAAATCTGGAGCGCGTCAGTCAGGATGTCGGGTCGATGTTCAGTCGAAAGTAAAAAGATGAAAAGTCTATACGCGACATTTTCTCTCAGTAGAGAACAATCGCTGTCACTGAATTGGATATTTATAGTAGTAAATTGGACGGAGACGATGACGATGAGTTTTCGTTGAGTGCTTCTCTTCAAGAAGAGGAGGAGGAGAACACCAGCGTACATTCTTCCGTTTGTACCAATTGGGAGGACAAGTTTGCTTGTCGTGCGTTACGAGGTCGTACCTACAGCTACCGGAAGAGAAAGACTCGTCTTGCTGATGGAAATTTTAGCGCTCCTGCTGGTGTCTGTCCGCATCGCGTTACCTCTTCGATCATCCGTCGCAGTGCAGGTCATTCCTGCAGTCTTTTCTACAAAGCAGCTTTGCAATCGTTTAATATCGCTCAAGTACATCCTGTATGTCTAAAGAAGAGATATCCCTGTCATTATTACGCGAGACCATAATTGCATCCTCTTGTGCGATTTGTCCGGATAAATGGCAGACAAATTTACACGGAATTATACGGACGATATACATGCATCTTTCTTCCGGCGAAAAATTGCCACAATATTACGCGATTTCGCTCAATCGAGCGAACGAGACTCAATGAGATCATCTATTTACAGGTGATTCCCGACTTGTATTTATCTGGCCACAGAAAGCCAACAAGCAAACTCGGCTTTCGAATGTCCTACTCGCGCCTCTGCTGCGTGGCATTCTGGCCGGATTGTTACTCGTGGACGCGCTACATCTGTGGCCCGGAGAATTTTTACCCACGTCTCTACCTTCGACTATGCCGATTACATTACCGCCAGTCAAATGCAACATCATCGAGCCACGCTGGTTCGATGATAACTGACTGAACAGCGAATCGCGCCGATTCTCGCGATTAGCAATCTTAACCCCCTCCCTTCAATAAAGATTGATCGATTTCATTACATTTCGTCCGCCAAAAAACTCGCTTCTTCATCGTAGGTAGATTGAACAAACGGCGTGTAAGCTATCCCGATTTTGACGAAATTTTACTTGCAGCCACGAAGGAAATTTCCGAGAAGTATTAATTTCGATGAAATAATGAAAAGTCAAACGTATCTTTCAATCGGTATTAGGGATTCAATATGTGTTGTGAAGATCATGAATAACAGGAAGATTCGTTATGAAGTTACCGACTGAAAAAGTATGAAAAATATTAACTCAGGTAAAGGATCGATTCTATAATGACAGGCCGGTTTTTCATCACCGACTGCCACTTGTTTAATAGCATTTAGACTCCTCTCGTAAGATGCTCGGTTTAAATATTGAGCAGCGCGTGGAGCAACAAAACCCCTCATACGATTTCAAGCCATCCCTAAGTGCCTCTGTCTCCGAGAGGAGTCTAAATGCTATGGAACGAGAGGATGGCTTAACCATGGAAAAATGATGGGCTCTCCCGCTGGTTAATCCACTCTCTCTCCTCGTGTCCGGATAGAAAATTGTTACTTACCCGCGTAATTTGCGTAAAACTTGTCGTTTTATCTTTGTAAAGCCACCACGGCGGATAAATGAAGGAAACTCACACTTTTTTTCTTAATAACTTGATTATTATTTATATGCTGATCGATGATGTAAGAAAATTTTCCTCTTATTTTTTCAAGACACACAAATATTTCGTCAGCATGACAATTTCTCCACAGCTCTCGATACTCCCGAGCATCAATTATATCCGTGTTGTAATTTCAATAATTGTTATATAACATTGATTGTTATATCGTTGAGTACGAAATATGAATGTAATGATGCTCGGTGTTTACTAGGTCAATACATTGATATGATGAAACATTTCAGCAAAATATTTTATCAATTTCACATCGAAATCTTGCGATTGATTTCTCGGAAATTTTTGCAACAAGTAGATTCAACAAGTACTGCATATCTGTAAAATTTCATTACAATCGGATAGCATTGTAAAGTTTGGGTGCTTCACGATCGATCGGCGAGAATTGCCGAGAATCCACACTGGAGAAACATAATTATCCGCGATATCCGTGATCGCGGTATAAACAAAGTTTCGCAAGGATAAAGCGTTTAAGTAATCATTACAGCGGGACCGATTTCGCGCAACATGATAAAACCGACAATAAATAATACTCAATGTTATAGCAGCGACTGGCAGGGTCGTTACGATGAGACTCGTAAGAATAGAATCACGGCGATAAGGAAAAGTTTATCGTACACTTTGTCGTATTTACATATTATGTGTGCACATTATCATTTACACGGAATGCAACTAACTGCGGACGTGTTTGCGTATATCGCGGTTAAATATCATTCTTTTAAAAGTCGGCTAATTTCTCGGCATAGCGTATATATTGTTCGACGCCGTGAGATGTGCGCGTCAAACGCTTTATGTATCGCTCGGTGATACACCTCTAATTGAAAGGTTAAGGGGACGCGATTCGCTCATTTCTTCCGTTGTTATCTAACCAATGAACGCAATTAGATACTGAGAAAGATTAAAAATATCAATACACCGATAAAATCCACGTAAAAAGAAGTTGAAAAAATTGAAGATTTAACTGGTTGTTAAAGAAAGACGATTCCTATCGTCAATTTTATCTCGTTGCAATATAGTGTCCTGTTATATTCCATCGCTGCCATCGTTTGGGACAAAATTCGTCGAGTTGTTATACTCGGTGGGTTAAATATCTTTGCCAGATTACGTAGAATTACATAGAAGATTGTGACGCTTCCAACGTAAGCCGAGTATTGTGAGTATACTGCTGCTCTTCAACGGTTTGCTTTTTAACTGGATTTACCGTACCTGAGATACGTAGACAATAATTTTAATGTCGAAAGAAGCGTGTTTTTTTTCGATCAATATAGTATATACAGATAATACGAATATCCTACGAATGTTCAAAGAATTATTCTCTACGAATATTTATGCACATTTATAGAAAGTGTATTAAAAAAAAAAAACACTATTATATTTATATGTACAGGGTGTTACAAACCGGTTCCCACAGATAGAACAGGTGAGTAGAAAAATCATTTTGCAAAATTCGCGATAGTTGATGAGGAATTAATTATTTTGTCCGAAGTAATGAGTGCATGTCCCGGTAGGCTCTGTATAAAGAAAAATGGCTTACTTTTTGGTATCTCCTAGCAACGATAAGCATCAACTGATTTCTACAGGCGAAATAACGCGTAGCAGAAAAGAAACACGCCTCTCAGTTGATGCCTATCGTTGCTAAGAGATCTCAAAAAGTAAGCCATTTTTCTTTATACAGAGCCTACCGCAGGGCCGCATGCGTTCATTAGTTCAGACAAAATAATTAATTCCTCACCAACTATTGTGAATTTTGCAAAATGGTACGTGATTTTTCTGCTCACCCGTTTCTATCTGCACATCACAAGAACACCCGGTTTGGGATACCCTGTATACAGGGTCGAATTGAAACGAACGAGAAGTCATCATTTGCAAACGACATGTAAAGTTTGCAAAATTATTATTTAACATATTAACACAAACATTTTTTAGTTATTAATTAAAGAAGCCCTATACATTTTCCATAATTCAAAACTTCACATGTTTGCAACTTTTTGTTCATCTCTATTCGTTCTACATGCTCATGAAATTTGCCCATTGAGGACACCCTGTATATGTGCGCGCGTGCATACATACCTGTCTAACATATATATTTATTCTACGTATATTCACATAGAATATCCGATTTTTTCAATGTATTCTGGAATATTAAGAACGTATTTCATAAGAATGGGATATTTTATATCTGTGCGCAACTAATAACGATATAATATCGCAAAAGTAGTATTTGTCAAATTGAATAACGTATAACTCTGAAACATACATCACGAGTGATTTCAGAACGGACTAAATTTTGTAACGACGTAATGACACATTTTCGATGTACGCAGGTTCGCAAATTCATATGCGATGGACATTATTTCTTTCGTTTTGAGCATTTGGTGCTTCATTATAATCTCCATAGTTGTATCAATGGTGCGTCATGATTATATGATACGACGAAAAATGAAGAACGTTCCTGCATTCAAATCATATCCTCTCATTGGCCACGCATTGACGCTACTAAGGATGACAGAACAAGGTAGACAATGAAACGACGATTACATCGAATGGCTTTGACGCAATCGGTTATATTAAAACAACATGTCAGATCGATACAATTTCGTTTTCGCTATTCGGTACGTTGGAAAAATCAATACCGCACACACGAAATTGTATTGAACAAAACAAAGTATGTTGTAACCGTATTTTTCGACGTTACCTGTTATGGAACATTTTATGATTTTGAATCGCCAGAGTTGATGATTCCATTCATTATGGACTTTCGACTTTCCGCTCGTCGTTTTAATCGACGGTAAAGTTTAACAAGAAGAACGAATATGTTTGAGACATAGTGCAAGAAAAATAATTAGAATGAAACACATTTGCATTTGTAACGTCATAAAATATAACGAATAATGCAAGTAAAGTATATTAATTTTCTATTGAATATATGTTGTATATTTAAAGCAACAGTTGATATTGTATCGTGAAAAATGTAGGTATCGTGTGTCTAAAATAATAAGCGCCGAAAAACGAGTAATAAGTGAACCGATTGCAAAAGTCGTTCTACTAAAAACACATATCGCCATTATTTAATCTAAAATACATTTATTGTTTATTTCGTAGAACAATTTGAATGGCATCTATCATTTTTGAACCATTTCAAAGACGGAATGTGCCTGGTATTTTTGGGATCCAAACCAGTGGTTTACCTTTTTAAGCCCGAATTTTTAGAGGCAAGCAACTTTTTTTTACGTTGAATTTGAAATTGTTGATTGTTTTATATACGTGGGCATATTTAAAATATTAACTTGTCATCACAATTACTTTGGGAAATCGATCACAAGAAATTTTCCATGCTGGTCGCAAACATTTTTTATAGACTTCAACGAGACATCAATTCGCTTTTGAGAATTCACGTGATAAGCGTAAAGAAATGTCTTCCCAAAAAATCGCGACATAATAACATTATAACGAACTTGATTGATCACGAGTTATCGACCCGCTCACCGGGTCGTTATTTGATACATCATTTACAGTGTTGCAAACATTTGACTTCAGATCATTTGTCCCAGTACTGTTAATCTCGAGAAAGGGATAGTGTATGAATTGTTAAAACCTTGGTTGGGCAACGGTCTTCTCACTTCTGCCGGTAAATCGTTATACTTTTCTTTAAAGCACATGATAACACATAGATAATTATTATGAATGAAATTCTACGCGCGTCTCAAGATACATAATTATTTCTACAATTTTTTCCTAAACGACATCCTCGCGTGTCTCCGATAAATGAGATAAGACAATTTACAAGGCAAACCATCTACCTTCTTTTAGCAGCTTTTTCTTTCATTCCTCAATTTCCAATATTCGATGTGTATATATTCATAGGTACACGATGGTTCCACGATAGAAAACTTATCGGGCCAACGTTCCATTTTGGTATATTAGACCAATTTGCAATAGTACTGTCTGAAAAAGCAGAGATCCTAACGAAATGCCTCGAAAAAGAAATGGAAAAATGTCCAGGAAAGGCCATCGATATTTTTCCCTTCCTTATCAATGCTACTCTGGATATTATATGCGGTAAAAAAACTTTTATATATAATACGATACTTTATATCGGTGTTTTAATATATTGCCGCTGTAAAAGCGCGTATGGAAGAGTAAGTTGCACGCGCTCTCTCACATATGCAGCGGCAGCACGATATGTTGATGCAACAGGATACATACTTCCTGTACGTAAGTATCGCGACCACGGTTAATCGCGGTCATTATTTCGCAGAAACGGCGATGGGTGTGAATATACGTGCCCAAGAAGTCGTAACCGAATATTCCACGACAATACATAGGTTAGTCTCTATCATCGGTAATCGGTTAGACTGATTGATAACTGTACTGTACCTCATACTTTTAGATTATCCAAATTGACGCTCGAGCGGCTATTCACGCCGTGGTATTGGATGGATTGGTTGTACTATTCAATGCCTGTTGGAAAGGAGTACAAGTCAGCATTGAATATATTGCACGGATTCACGAAGGAGGTAAGGCTGCACGAGTAATATACATAATAGCGCGTGCTGAAAGAAATGTTTTATCCTAAGGAAATTTCAAATTTATCCACGACGATGGCACGTATTCCAGGTGATTAATAAAAAGAAGGTTATTCGGAAAACAAAAAACGGCAAAGGGGATGACACAGGTATATATAAACTCTCTCTGCAACACCAACCAACGAAAGAAAAAGAGAAAGAGAGATAGACTGGTGAAGGGAAACCAGTTAGTCAACATTAGTCAGAGGGTTATGAAGAGAATAAAACGTTTAATTATTTAGTAGGTGGAAAGAAGAGGAAACGTTCCCTTTTTATTGGCGACCATTATGACGTCATAATAATGCACTGCCGTTCTGAAATTACTTTGCTAGCAGCACGTTGTATTTCGAAACAGCAGTAGTTGCAGTTGACGCGAAATGTACCGATATTCACTGCCAATATTGAAAATCTATATGTAACATAAACTATAGATTTTTGGTATTGACAGTAAATTTCGGAGCCTAACAAATCTACTTTCTGCCTATATCAATACGATGTTATATCGCGCTGCAACCGTCTCGGAAGCTTGCAGTAATCGCAATATGGCTACTACCATTTATGACGTTATCGATCGACGTGTCGTAGCAACGTTGCATGCTAATAACGGAACAATTTTTCAATACTGCCAGTATATATCGGAAAGCGCTCTTCTCCCCCCCCCCCCTCTCTCTCTCTCCCTCTTTTTCAATCTTTGTTTCACCTGTTTCTCCCGCTGTTTCACCTCCTATAGAGTTTAGAAGGGAAACATTTTATTATTTGGCACATCTCTGTCCTTCAGCTTTGCTTCTCATTAGTCGTTCCGTACTCAAACTATGTGTGTGTGTGTGTGTGTGTGTGTGCGTGCGTGCGTGCGTGCGTGCGTGTGTGTGCGCGCGCGCAGTATTTCTTTAAGAGTATACGTGCACAAGAGTATTCTTTATCCGAGAAAAATTCACATTAGGTAAGCAAAGAAGGAAAGCCTTTTTAGATTTATTGTTGGATCAGAATGAAAAGGACAACGCTCCGTTAACGGAAGACGAATTACGGGCGCAAGTTGACACCTTTATGTTCGAGGTTCGAGTAATTGGCTAATAATTAAAGTACCTACAAGAGTTACAAAATAATAAAACAAAAAAATGAAAAAAAAACAGGGTCATGATACAACTGCGGTTGCGATAAACTGGGCGCTCTTTTGTTTGGGTAATAATCTAGAGCATCAAGAGAAAGTCCATGAGGAACTCGAGCAAGTTTTCAAAGATACGCAGACGCCAGCCAGTGTGAAGGAGTTGTCGCAATTAAAATATCTAGAAAGAGTAATGAAGGAAACGCTCAGATTGTATCCAAGTGTACCTATAGTGGAGCGGAAATTGGCGGAAAACGTAAAAATTGGTAAATATCCAAATGCTATACCACTTATCCAAAAAGTCGTTTGCGGCATGTAAGCAGAGAGTGTTGGTTTAGCACGTTCAGTATGTCTGTCGCGCCCGATCCTTGTTTGTATAATCAACGGATAAAATCACACACATCTCGTGCAATCGTCATCCCTCGTTTATAGTCTCGTGTAAACTCTCTCTCTTTCTAGGTGATGTTACTATTCCGGAAGGTACAACGGTCGCGTTATCGATCATAATGGCACATCGCAATCCGCAAGTTTGGCCAGACCCATTAAAGTTCGATCCGGATCGCTTTCTTCCGGAAAATTCAAAACACAGAAATCCATACGCCTACGTCCCGTTCAGCGCCGGACCGAGAAACTGTATCGGTCAGAGATTCGCTCTACTCGTAGAGAAAACAGTGCTAACGGCTATTCTAAGGAAATGGAGAGTTAAAAGTGTAGAAACCGAAATTCCGTTAGTTGGCTCTCTCATTTTGCGACCAATAGGTAATGTGCTTCTTCGTTTCACGCCAAAGACGACGCGTTGAGATAATCGATATGTATTTTCCATTAGTTTTAATACAATAAATAACATTTAACGTGATAGACGTATAATTTTCTAATACGACGAATATGAAGAAATGAACGATATTTGATGATAAAAGTATATAAATATACTTTTTATAAAATATACTTCAATAAATATGCTTTTTATATCGAAAGGGCGTTCAAACTATTTGTTGGATGTTGAGGATTAGAATTCAACGAACCTTTGTATCCGAACATTTGGTTGGCTAATCGTTGTCCAACAGATCAAACAATCGCTAGGGTATCCTCGATTGCTCCAATCTTCAATTCAAAATATCCTTCTCTCTTACATAAAGGGTCGCTTAACTTGATCGGTGCCGATTAAGCGTCAATTCTGGCCAATTCTGCTTAATTCTAATGGATCAAGTTAACCGGCCGAACAATTGTCCTGTTTGTGCAGAGACGGGCCCAGTTTTTCGCACATTTGTGTCGATCGGCGAGGTTGTGTGCCGATATTCGTCAATATGTTGAAAATCAATATAGTTCATATTGGTATTATATATAGATTTTCATTATTATATCGGAACCCAATAGCCCATCGAGTAACAATAAGATATTGTGCCGCTTTCTACGCGCGTATTGAATTGTGCAAAGATCAGCGATTCGTGCTATATCTGATAACTGGCCTTGACGATAAAACTCGTTGTCCAGTGAGTCATCACATTCAAGCGTCATTCGAGTGCTCAACATCGAAGGTGAAGCGTCATTCGAGTGTTCAACATCGAAGGTGAAGCTTCAATATATCAGAGCGTTTTGCAATAATACAATAATCAGGTAATTAAGGCCTCTGGTCCTTCGATGCAACTGTCCTTGTCTCATGATGTCAGAAGCGAGAAAGCGCATGCCGAGAAATTCCTGCGTTATACGTTCAAATAAAAAGGATATACTCACAAAGTGACGTTTGTGATCGATTGTAAAATTGTCCAAACACTTTTACTCGAACCATCAATGAACAGTCGTAAAATTAACATTGACAAAATCATGAGAGAAGCGGTTAGAAGATCAAATTCTATGTCAAGTTAATTTTGCGACTGTTTATTGATTGTTCAAATAAAAGGAAAGTGTTCGGACAATTTTATAAGTGTGTTGAATCGATCACAAGTATCATTTTGTAAGAATATATATATTTTTTTTTATATGAACGTAGAATTCTTGGCATACGTGTTCTCGCATCAGACGTCATCAGATAAGGATAGTTGTCACGAGGAGCCTCTTAAGAGCTCGTATTATAACTTTTCATAATATCGACAAACGGTGTGTTATTATTGTACAAATGATTTTAGCCAGTAAGCAAGAAATCACAATACAATGACGTATTTTATGATGTATAACTTTTTCAAGTATATAGTTCATAATGTCGCATACAACGTCATTGCTAACAATATTTGACCAAAATATTAAAGACGATATTTCAATATCATAATTTTAATATTAAGGAATATTATATTATTAAGTAATAGCATTGAAACATTTGTAAAATATCACGTTAATATGTTTATAAAATTTACGTATGAAATTAATGTTTCAAAAAATCGATGAAATGTTTCTTGCTCACCGAGGTAATCTAAACGCATCGTAAATTGAATATCAATTGAGTGTAACGTAAAATTGTTTACAAATTATTGGAATATATGTAAGTGATCGATTTATCTCTGTGCAAGAATAAATGGTGCAAAAGTAGCCTATCGTATATTTCAAAATTATAATTGACGACATCAGGTAATTTCAGTTGTTAATAACATATTGACATTCTCCCCCTTTTTCTTTCTTTCTACCTCCCATCCTCTCTAATTTTAAGGTATCCCTTATCGTGCATCCCTAATCTCCATTTTTCTGTGTAGTGCGGTATTTCAGAATTACGATATTAATCAATGTGCTCTTTTCAACACACTGTCGTCAATTTTTGGAATTTACTCCCTTGGATATCGGTCGATTGTCGTCTTTTCAGATTCTTCTTTCCTCGACTACATATATTTGCGCGATTGAGAAGAGGAGAAACATATGCGTCTAATATTTTACAAAGTATCTATTAACCAGAATGGGTGGAGAAGGTGAAATTTTGTCTCATACTTTTCCTCCAAAATTTGTCGTCCTTCAATTCCTTACACCTTTCTTTTTTCTTCCATCATCCCTTCTCCTTTCCCTCTCCCCCTTCTTAATTATATAATTATATTTTTTCACGTTCTTTGTTAATATTGCGATATTATTGTCAAGCTTTATTGAAGAATGTAAACAAATGCTTTCTCCCTCTTTCTGTTGTTCTCTTGTTTTCAAACTAATACCTCCCGCGATTTTTATAATTTTCTTATCAATATAATCTTATTTTGGAAAAAAATGCGACTTTCAACCTACAACTTTTTCAAATAAGTAAAAAAATGTTGCCCTTTTTATAGTAAGTTCGACACTTGACATGGAAGTACACGCACGTGCTCCAGATCCGTTAACAAATGACGGTGACATGGCTAAAAATTGGCACAGCTGGAAGGAGGATTTCATTATATTCATGAAAGTAACAGGATATATTCATAAACCCAATGAAGTCCGTGCGAATCTTTTAAAAAATCGGATTGGAAAGATTGGTATCGATGCGATAGAAACAATATCATTTGACAATCAGCAAGATAAAGATGATATGGATATATTAATGACAAAACTCGAAGATTACTTTAATCCACCGAAGAAAGAAGTGGTTGAGCGATATCAGTTTTTTACACAGACGAAAAAACAAAACGAATCTATCGAAGAACATATAAACAAGTTGAGAGTATGTATCATACGACGCATTTTACAATTATAACATCATCAAGTCGGTTCTTTTTTGCAGGAGAAAGCCAAAACTTGTAATTTCAAGGAAATGACGGAGAGTTTTATACGAGACAAGGTCATTCTCGATACACACGACAAGATACTTCGTAAAAAGTTGTTCGAAGTGGACGATTTAGATTTGCAGAAAATAGTAGCGATTTATAAAGATTACAATATCAACATCGAAAAGATGAAACAGGTTACTCAAGAGAAGAACACAGCACCTACCGTGGCGAAACAAACACTGACAACAGTTAGAACAGTGAAAGGAGTATGTTGGAGGTGCGGTTGTTCACATCCGCTGGGAAAGTGTCCCGCTTGGGGGTCAAAGTGCACAAAATGCGGCGACGTCAATCACTTCACCCAATGTTGCAAGGGTATTAAATTACCCAAAATATTAAATAACCCAAAGGTAAACAAAACACACACAAGTGACAAAACGTTTAAAAAGTTTAATAAAAATTGTGCGTTGCGCATTTCTCCGCGACAATATTTCAATTGTTCGATTATATATTGAACGTGAACACGTATGTTATATCGTATCTTGATTTTTAGTTACGATTTTTTTTTACTTGCTCCGTAGGTGGATAAAAATATGCTGAATCCAACGCAACTGGATACAAAAATGATTTCAGAGGTAAACAATTTGAAAAGAAAGAATTAAAAAGAAATTGGCAACAACGTTTCTCTTTCGAAAAATGTACGATTAATTACGATTATATAATAAAAGTATAATACCTTCTTATTAAAATACGTGATTATTCTGTTTTGTTTATGCGCAATACGAATGGCGTCGTGTAGTTTCCGGAATAAATTAAAAATAGATCAAGCTTATTTCAGCGCGTCGAGGTATTAAACAAAATGTACAATGAGCGATTTTCTTTTTACTTTACGATAAACAACCGATACAATGAACTGATACATCCGAAGCAATGAGCACATTATAATGTACACAATAATGCACAGAACATACGATGTGTTGTAGAATAATTAAAAAATTATGGAATAATCCAGCAGATGCTACAGTTACAATTACTGACTCGACAATGGTATTGATCAAATTGCAAATATCGTTGAATTATATATATATATATTTGTAATATATATATATGTATATATATATATAATTCAACGATATTACAAATATATATATATATATATATATATATATATTTGCAATTTGATCAATACCATTGTCGAGTCCGTAATTGTAACTGTAGCATCTGCTGGATTATTCCATAATTTTTAAATTATAAATATATATATATATATATATATATATGATGGCTGCGTATGAGAATAAATCAATTGAAACAACGTATTTGAAAATAGTAGTACAATGTTATCCACAGAGGAAAAAGAAATGTCGTTTTGCGTTATTAAAACATGAAACTATTTTCTAGACTTTTCCGGACGTTCCTACAACGTCAGTGTTACGTGACGTTGAAAATTCAGCTTGCGAAGTATCTTGTGATGCTACTCTCGATTTGATATTGCATGCGTTAGACGCATGTGTTACTCCAAGTTTTGATCGTACCGCTACTAACCCATCGACATCTGATTTACCTAAAAAGTCACGTGGGTATATCGTATGTACTTTAATACATACAGGAATATAAGAAAAAAAGGACACAAAGCGCACACAATATGCGCAAACATGTAACAATGACTAATTACAGAATATACTTACTCTGATACTCTGATAAGCGAATCGGATCGGACATTATATGCCAAAGATAAGACGAGTGCGGAAACGCCTGTACGCAGACGTTGAGTAATAGTACTTTTGATAATGAAAAGAAGACTGACTGATTAATCATTTGTTTTCTTACAGAAGACTGAAACACCAGCAGGTACTTGTAAAAAATGCGAGAACATTTTCAAAAATAGCTCGACTGTATCATACCATCATTATAACGAGGAAGTGATCGAATGCGGTACGCTTGGCGCTACAACGGCTCTGCAGCGTTCGGAATATAGCCCACTAATGATATTTGTACAAACGATGTCACGTACATTACGGGACGTTTCAAAGCGCCAAGCGGACCGCATTCAAAGACACCTGGAAACTATTGTAAACATGTTTGTTAATGTTATATGTTGTCGTTATATTCAGCGGGGTCGATCGTAAAAGATTCGCCTTAACATCCTCATTCACCATTTTGAGTCGTTATATTCAGCGGGGTCGATCGTAAATTGTTCGCCTTAACATCATCATTCACCATTTTGAGTCAAAAAGTTCTCTCTGACGAGTAACTTACACAAGTTAAATAACAAATTTGTGTTTTAAAACATACGCAATGTAACATTATAATATACATACATCAGATGTAACGGTGATGTAATATTTTCATGCGACCTCTTCTCTCCCATCTATCGGTTATCTCATTTCACGCATTTATAATTCCTAGTTCAGATAGATGAAAACACAAAGGAAACGTTCGAAATATATTCATTAATTTCTGTGCGCTACCTTACATTTCACTGAAACAAATTCTCTCGGGGAATTTCAAACCAAACACGATTACATTCAAAACAGAAAGAAAGATGATATATACATATGTGAAATGTATGACTCTAGTTTCAACACGCCATGTGTGTGTGTGTCTTCTGAATCGATGAAACATGCGTATGGTTTATTTCAACAGCATGTTCACTCATGTTTCATGGTCTCCGTTCCGTCGGTCGTTTGAGAGTTATCCAACAATTGTTGGGCTTTGAACAACTCGATGAGTTGTTCTGTTGCAGTAGGAGCTAGTTTAACAGCTGCACCAAGTTCCTTCTGTGAGTCAAACAATCGAATATCAATATATTACAGAAAAATATTTCAAGAAATACATATCACTTTTCTTTACTACAGTGAATAAAAGATTTTGTAATAAAATATATAAATTACATTTGGAAACTGCGCCAAATTTGTTGTCGGATCTTTGAACATAAATGGTGTCCATGGTCCTTGGATCGATGGAAATTCCGTGTGCCACATCTTTCGCAATCTTAAGGAAGCGCTATCATGAATCTGTGTACGCAACAATTCCATCCATTTTATGATATCATCTCGATTGTAGTTGGAAACATTCATCCACTGTCTACCACCATTTACTACATAAGATGCGCCAATGTGAATTAAATTTTATTTAAATATATCGTATTTTCACGTATATAAGTGGGTACATACAATATTCGGCAACTATAACCGGATGCTTGTGCCTTCTCGGTTTAACATATACAACTACTCCTGGATTTTCTTTCGCATAATTAAGTAAATCATGCTCTATGAAGCCCCTGAAAAAAATTAACCGGATTGATATTTTCCTATCATGTATACATACATCGTCACATACAAACAAATAACGTCTGACCTCATTCCCATACTTGTACCATGGCTCTTACAAAATTTCAAAGTAACCCTTTGCAGTTGACAGACGTAACGTCCGATCCCAAGACCATGAGGTGCACGTGGAAATCCAGATTTCAGGAATAGATGTCTGTTCGACATATTCTTTGTATACAAGATACAAAACGTACGAGAGAGAACAAACGGTTACGTGCTACCTTCCTTCCTTTCTTCAGTTTTGGTAGTAGTACGTAGCCTGTCGGCTTTGTATCGTCCCAACACTAAAATACGGTCACAGGCGCGTTCGAGGAGACGCTATTCAGCGCTATCGCGTCATTCTATCTTTATTGCTCCTTACATGTACAATAAGGATAGAATGACGCGGTATCGCTAAATAGCGTTTTCTCGAACGCATCCTAGGTCGGAACATTCATTCGGAGAATTTTAGAGAATTTCTGTGAACGTTGGGGGAGTTAGCGCACAGTGCGATAGCACACATTCACTTACATTGGCCAATGCCTAGAGTCTTTCCACTGGACCACCAATTAGAAACATACATTACATTAAATTTGTCAATGCTTGTTTTCATGCTGGATAGAAATACTGCATTCTGATTGGCGCATTTCTAAAAATGGATGACAATACACCAATCAAAACGCAGTATTTCCATTCGACAAGCATGTGCCGCTGGCTTTACACGTGGCGTTGTACGACGAATCAGTCGGATTGGCTGTCGTACAGAGAACATTTACGATTCCAAACATTTTCTCTAGACATTCCGGCTGCGTTCTCATGGACTGTTAGCAGCTTTTTCGTAAAAGCAGTACGCATGATTCGAGCCTCTGATATATATCAACAAATAAATATTAATATATATATTTTACTTTGATTATCTGCCAGACAGCACATATGGATTAGAGAATTCTCTATAATGTCAATTGATTATCGCGTTTAGATTTGCTTGTCGTAACTGCTTTTAATCTGTATTTTGATAAGGGCATTTTGATAATAACGCGTTATATCGTCAGTACTATTTTATAACAACATAAATATCTGCTGCGATTATGTGAGGCAACATCCCTCTTTGTAGTCACAGTATTGATTTATACACAAAGAAGGTTCACTCGTATAATCATTTATAAAACTACGCAAAATAATATAATCTTGCTTAATGTAAAATCACTAATTAGCGTGTATAATCCTGGCTTATGATAAATCTTCCTTGTGGTCTTCACGATCGTTGTATCTTTGTGGCCGAGCGGTTAATTAATTTTTTTCTTGAAGATTTGTGCATCAAGGTGCTATGCTTCAGTGCTTTTGATTTTTCGATGCTTCCTTGCTTGTCTAGAGTTCTTTCAGTGTCGGGCCCTAACGATGTCTACCACTAGTTTGCCGCGCGGTCAAGCGCTCTTCCGGAGTTATTTTCTTTTTTCGGATCTATTTCCTTTGGTGTTGTAATTTCTTACGTTTCAACGTGACGCTCAATTTGTCTATGAACGCCTCCCTCTTGTTAAGCCGTCTATGTGTTCCTATAAACCTCATTAACTTGTGTCCTCATTGATAACGGATACGGATTTTACATGCCAAAAAAGTCATTTAACTTCCATTTTCGACCAACCACAATTTTCGCTCTTTTTCGCGTTTCGGATTGTTTCTTCCATCTTGATTCATTTCGTTTGTTTCGTTGCTGACTAAGTTCATCGGCCAGCGAGATTGGTGTTTTTATGTTTTCCGTCATTTCCTCTTCATATATGTCTTTTTGGGGTTTAGTTGTTACCGCGACTGTCGTCTTCGTTGTCGCTGTGTGTATTTTACCAATCCTCACCATCGTTTTTCGGATTATCTTGTAATCTTCGTTTCTTACAGCGTGTTCGCGACGCAGGTGTTCGTCCGTCACTGCAACTTCAATTTCTTCTTCCTCGGAACTGGTATATACATCGATTCGCTTCCTTACTTCCTTGGATGTATTGTCATCTCGCTTATCGATAGTTACTTTCATTTCGTTTTCTTTATTCTTGCGTCTCTTTTTTTCAGCGCTTTGTTTATAATTTTTACTTTTCTTTTTGGCCGGCGGCTCTAACGGAAGCCTTTCGACTTCCCTCATTTCTTCCTGGATATTCTTCACAATTTCCCGTAGCTTCTTGTCTCTCAATATTCTTTTTTTTTTTATTCTTTCGTCCAGCGCAGTTAATCCGCGCACAAATTCCCGGAATTCCTCATCGGAGTACTTCATCGTACGTATTCATCTTTCAGTCGGCAATCTGCAAAAATATAGAAACGCGAGTTTTCTTTTGGATATATCTTACAGGTTATTCAAACCATGACTTAAGAAACAGATTTTCTATTGTATCTATTATCAGCGTTCGCCTGTTCACTAGCTCTACATCGCTTGTCAAAATATTTTCAGCTGATCCAAACTGTTTTCCTGTTTTTGGTAAATCTTAACGAAAGAAGATCAATGACATGTATTATAGAGATCACCCTCCTGAAAAATCTTTGGAACATTCAAACTGTGGGTCATTGTTACAAAGTTAGGAATAAAAAAATTTGAAATATACAACATTCAGGCCGATATTCACAGTCGTATCTTATGTCAAATGGTTTATTTTTTTGTTTTGTTTTCTAACTGAGATAGTTACATTAGTCGAAGAAATGTACTGAAGCATGGGAATCTCTTATGTACGCTTTACATGTTTCAATGCGTATGTAAATTTCTTGAATAGTTAGTTTAACTAAAAATATCAGAACAAAAGGCCGTCTTAATAGTTGTGTTATATGGATAGTAAAACTCTTTGTCAATTGTGCAAACGTCAACACAGTTGAACAAGCGTGGCTAATATTTAGCTCAAATCTTAAAATGATCTCAAGAATTACGAATGCGTTTACTCACGTTCATCTACGACTTGACTTTGTATGTGATTCCAGGTGTTTGTTTACATTAACTTTCGAATAAGGTCAAACTGTTAAAATAAAATTACACGATTTTTACTGACTTCGCAAACTGACTTGTAACCTATTGTTCCCGCTGTGTGTCGGGATGTCCTATTGAAGACGCTTCTCTTGGTCGAAATTTTCTGTTATTTGTGGTCGCGTGGTTCCGCGTATCACGCAAACAATCGTCTCATTTCGGTTGGTTTGCATGCGTTGCGAGCTGGAGGGTTTTTCACCGATTAGGCTGAAAATGACCTTATAATGTATTTTGGTGTGTTGAACATTAATATATGAAAGTTACGATTATTAGTTAATAGAAGTTATCGAGGGATACGGAACGATAGTTGTAGGGTTACGAAATCTGTCATATCGAATAGGTAGGTTGCGTTCTTTTTGGGTGCTTATGCTCTCCAAGGGCTTATAAGCTTCCACCGTTTTTTCTGGCATCGTAAACGCTGAAAGACCGCTATTCACGGTTGAATCTTGCGTTTAAAACTGCCATAAGTTTGCGTCTTAAGGTGTTCGTAGTCAATGAAATGAGCCGTAGAGCATCAGAAAATAACTTAAAACGGTCTTAAATATAAGATCCGACTGACAATACCGGTCAAAGAGTGTGTAAGACGTTATTGTGAGGCCATAATTAATCTTTACAAACGTTTGTTCCATCGAGGTATGGCAATGTTAGTATGAGCGTTTAAAAAGAAAAAAAAAGCAATTTTAACATTGCAATTATTCTTTTTCCAACTTACCTTATTCTCGCGTAAATTATTTGCACCCGTGTTGATTTAAAATCTCATTGCTTCGAATACTAAAAGTCACTAAATACTTTGACTTTTAACTGACTAAATACGTTGACTGTTTCTTAAAAGGTTACATTCTGTTAATACACTGACATATAATACGTGCCTAGTTTGGAGACAGTTTTGTATTTTTCACGATTTTCGCGAAGCAGTTACGATTTCAGACACAGTGTCCATAACAAATTAAAAAGCTCCAGTAATGTCAATATGGGAGAGCGACAGTCCCGCCCAATGTTAGAATTTCGACGCCTCAGTTTTTGTCGGTAAGAGTGGATAACACAATTACAACTGATCAATAGTAGATAAAAGTGGATAACACTGTAACAAATAATCAATAGTAGGTAAGAGTGGGTAGCACAATAATAAATTATCAATATTAGGTAAGAATGGGTAACGCAGTAATAACTAATCAATAGTAGGTAATTTAAATATCTGGGGGTCGGTAAGTTACCAGAGTCGATATGCTTCCTGGAATCGGTAAGTTTCCCGGGGCCGGTATGTAACTTTATCGCACATCGCAGAAGCAAAGTGAGGTCCAAAATTCCAATTTTTGGATAGATTAAAATAAGAATGGTACTTCCGACTTACCAAACGCAAATGCAAATAAGCTGCGTGGGAATAAAATGTTATAGAATCTGAGTGATTGATTAAGGTAAAACTTTTGTGACAAACACGATATTAGGTTAAATGTGATTTGTCGATTGAAAGATCCCTAGAGAGAGCAAATGACCAATCAGAAACGTCGAGTTGAATCACGGTGTGTTCTTGATGGATGTACTTTTCACGTATTAATTGGAGGACAATATCAACTTTAGATTGTGTCCGCTTGTGTTTAAAACAATTTATATTTGAGGTAATAATTATTTACTACCTTAATTTATCAATTACGTGTTGTTCCATTAAAATAAATAAATCGTCCTAATAATATAATTTT